GGGGCGGCCGGTGGCTTTTTTGCCTAGGGCGGCAAAAAAGCCAGAGCCGGCCCTGCGCGCTCCGCGCCCACTGACAGCGCCTCGGGGCGGCTCCTGCGGCCTTTGCAAACGCCCGCCTGTGGGGGACCGGCAGGCGGGACCCGCCCCTCTAGCTCCAGCCCCCGCAGGGCTCCCGTGACAGTGGGAAGCACATTAGTGCGTCTCACGTCTTCTCCCCGTGAGGGATGCAAGGGGTCCTGGGGCCCAGCTCCTTGTCCGGCCCCATGGCCTTCCTGGGGCGCGTGCGCCAGGGCAGGCGGCGAGGTGGGGTCCGTCACTGCACAGGACTCGCCCTGACTACGGGGCACGTGTTATACCTCGACTGCTTATTCCGGTTACTGACAGGCGCCAAGTGACCCGGAGACCAGCGATCACAGCCCATCGGGCCCATTGCTGCCCACGCCCTGCCACGGGTTAGCCACCGCAGCCGAAGCTCTGCGAGAGGAGGCTTTGTTAGGGATAAGACTGGGCCCATTCTTTCTCGCCTCCGTTAATCTCTACCCCGCTCTCTCACTCATTGCCTGGTGTTGTTTTGTCTCCATACCCCTCCCGGCGTTGTTTTCGGAGGGGCTAGCTTGCCTGGTCTCTTCACCCCAAGCCCCCTGCCTCACGTTAGCTCAGGTGACCACAGGATCATGCCCTGCGAGGAAACAGATCAAGGCAACCGGAAAGGAACTGCTTATGGTACCGTGGAAATATACCAGCTACTTATGCGTTGTAGCTGCCTGGCACTGTAGGGGGACAGTAACCTCCTGGTAGCTGAATGTCGGGCATTCAAACCACACACACGCTGACAAACGCCAGGCAAAGAGAAATGTGATTATGTCAACGATTGCTTCTTCTGTCCTCCCTCTCCGCCCACACTCACACGCCCATCCCCAGTTCAGCGGTGAACCCTGCTGGCAGTGCGCTGTCTGAAAGCACAGCCCGGGGGCGGGGTTGAATGAAGGGGCGGCTGGAAAGTGGGGAGCAGAAGCGGGTAGAAGGCGTAAGACGCACTAATGTGCTTCCCACTGTCAGTCCGGCGGAAGCTTATTCATGCAAGTCCGATCATGTAGTCAAATACTATTTTTCACCCAATTAATTCCTGAACTCTTCCAGGACCCCATTTCATGCCAGTTTATTTTAAGCTGCCATTTTGTTGGAGGCATGCCAATAAATTATTAGATGTTCAGGTCCCAGATGCCTTTTCTTGATGAGCTGATGTGACGTCTCGATCGTACTGCTGATTTGAAGACAGTCATCTCTGCCCCGAGTGACTCCAGACGCCGGTCCAACACAGACCAAGCGCTTGGAGCCCTTTTAAAATGGTGATCTCTGACATTCTCTGTACACCTCATAGGGCAGTGAGGATGGGGGTGCAAAGGCAGGAGATAGGCAACAGGGGGAGAGGAGGATTGTTTATTGTATTGATTTGGGGGTATTTTATTACAATATAACAGCAGATGCCCCCCCAAATGGAAGTGGCTGGATCTCAGACCCTCGTGCCTGGCTTCTGTATTATGTGAATCTGTCTTTTGTTTTAGCTTACGACACCTGGTGTGATGTGGCTCATGGATGTACCAGAAAAATTGGTCTCAAAATATGTGGTAAGTGCAAAGACGCTGTCCATAGTTCGCAATGTGCATTTGTGACCCTTCTTCTGTCTTTGACCCCATCCATGCCTGGGAGTTTCTTGTTGTCAAACAGAACGCTCTCTCCTGGTCTGAAGCAAGGCTGAGAGAGGGAAGCTTTAGTAAGCCATCTTCTTTGTATTAAGATAATTCAGCAAAGGGAACAAAATGAGAAGAGATGTGCCTCCTCCCACTGAGAGCCCGAACGACGCAGCCCCAAGCAATCCCCCAAACTCATTTAGCAATCCGATTTGCTTTTAGTAATTCGTGGGAGGCTGCGTGAGCGCCGCTCTTTGCGGACTCTTCCGCCCTCTGCTGTCAGAAGTGAGCAAAGGCAGCGCAGGGCTTGGAGGCGCAGCACTGCCCTAACTTGGTCTCTAGAGACACAATGAAATCCCGGGTTGTTTTCCACGACCCCCGTGTGCTCGAACCTGCTCCAGTTGAAGTCAATCGGAGCGCTCCCATCGACGTCCCCGGGAGCAGGTCCGTGGCTCAGAGCGCCGCTTCACGCAGCTTTTCATCCCTTTTCTGAGCCATATTTAAAAGCATTTTTTTCAGCACCGAGGTTGGGAGAAAGTGGCCGAGTCTGTGTGGGGCTGTGGCGGGGAGGATGTATGGGGCGTGGTGGTGATGGTTACCCGTTCCAGCACTATTTGATCTGCTAAAAACGAAGCGTTGTCTCTATGCTGCTTCTTTATGAGAAGAGCTGTGAGGAGCATGGTAGCTCACCGTGGTCTCCTGTCTGATGACACAGCTCCACTGAGCTGGGGACAGGGCTAAGGGGAGGCGAAAGGGGCCTGGCGCAGAACTTGTGGAAGCTTAATGAGACTGAGGGAGCGGCCAGAAGGGCGGCTGTGAGAAACGAGCAGGGTTTTTGCCACATCTCACTGTCTGAAAATTTTCAACCTTATCAGGCCAGAAAATACGGATCTCCTGGGGGGGGAGATTAACGAGAGCCTTATTAAACAGCAATTCGTCAGAGCGCTGTGTTTGGGAGATAGTGCTGGCAGCCAGTCAGCGTGCAGGCACATGAAATGAAGGAAAGGAAACAAATATACAATCTGATTGCAACGTTACAGCAAGAGATTCATTTACAGATAACAAGCTGTCTTCGCCTCTCCAGATTTCTTCATAGCGCCTTCCCTTTTGAAGACAAACAGTCTGATCTTTATTATCTGATGCCAAACGATCATTCCTTTTACGCAGCATTTCCCCCGTTATGAATAGGAATTATTTTCTCCCCGTTCTCAATTACCTTTTAGTAAGAGGACCATTTTAGTGTGTGTGAAATGGGCGGTGAGAGCGTTTTTATCAATGCAAAAAACTATTTAAACTCCTTTTCCCCTAATCAAGACTCTTTCGCTAGATGCTTTGTTACATGGAAGTTTGGATTCATGAAAATGTAGGTTGCAATTTTTTTAGCCCTAGGTCTATTAAGAAGTTGCATTGGAACCCAATGGTGCTATTAACGGGTAGCCGTTTAGTTCTATAAATAGCCCCTGATCTGGGTTTAATGGACCGTTTCCCTACGGGTCCCTTCAGTGTCTGGAGCTATGGGCTTTTTCATCATCGTTTTAATTTAGCACGGCAAGCAGAACTGATAAAGTAACGCACCGCTGGGTTTGTTCTGTGTTGCTAGACTACCAGGGTTATGAAGGGACATCGCAGCACCACACAATGTAGGTGTTAAATAAAATAAACTGAAAATGAACAGTCTCACCGTGTTGGATCTGAAGAAGGAAAAGGACTGTTGGGGGGAATTCAAACAAATAACCATCTGGTTTCCAAGCAAGCAAACAAACAAGGATTAAAAGGACACTGTATTACATGAAGGCTTACTTTTAATTTTCAGTACTATTTATTTTATTACTCTTTTCTGCTTTATACTAAAATGATACACTAGATAATAATGATAATACAGGGTAATTCATCTAATACAGTGATTTGTTTAACTCAGCACACGTATAAGTACACACACACAATTAATCACCCAGCTCTATAGCTCAAGCACAGTAATAAAAAGTTACCCTTGGAAACTAAATAACGTAAAATCTTAATGCTGCCAAGTACCATTTTTTAATTACAGCTATTTAATATGACATTTGAATATTTACAGTTGATTCCTCTTAATTCTACACAATATTGTTTCAGAGCCTAAATATTATGGAATTACAGATTTACAGTAAACCGGACACCAGTCGCTTCTGTCTGTCAGGCAGAACTGCTTTTTCTTGAAAACCATTAATTTTGAACGCAAACTTTAAATAAGATTCAAAACAGGGTTCAAAGCAAAAGCAAACACGTGAGCAATGTATCGGTCTTTAACAATGTTTTTGTATATCGTGTATTTTAATTTTTTTACCAACTACTTGTCCAAGATTTATAAGGAATATCTTCCCTTAAATATGTCAGTCTGCCCTCTTATCTAATTAAAAGCCACAGTCTGAAGGGAAAAATACCTTTTTATAAGCAAATGTATTTTAAATGGTTTCATTAATTTTCATTGATAGCAAAGTTCGCTGGCAGTGCTCAGATTTTCACTATTGGTATAGTCCATTTATAATCTTTCATTATGACCCACAAAAATAAGTGTCTTCCCCAGACTGCTGTCATTGCTGAACGGACCCCATTCTACAAACACTTGATTTTACTCCCATTGAAATCAGTGGAACTACTCTGCTGAATAAAACTGTTCAGATGCGTCTGCGTAGTGCGATCGGGACCAGTCTGCTTTCACTGCTGATGATAATGCTCTACAAAATAGCAAGCAACACGGTACGGTAGAAATTTCTAAGACGCCTAAGTGAGTTAGACGCATAAGTCTTACTGAAAGTCAGTAAGACTTTTGCTCATGACTCATCTAGGCGCTTTTGGAATTAACATCCCTGGGAGATATTGGTTTATGATGCATCTAGTACAAATGATTTATGTGTGTATGGAGGGACTATGGTGTTGTGGTTAAAGCATTGGACTGGGAATTCGGAAATCTGGATTATATCCCTCATTCTGAAGTCTATTTGATCTGCAATGTAAGTTGTGTAAAAGACGGTTTTACGCACACTATCCATTCCCCCTTTAGAGTGCAAATGCTATTGTTTCCTATCCATTTTATTTGTTATTAAGCCTGAGATTCAGGACTCCAGTTCTGTCCCTTCTGGTACATTCCTGAGAAAAGTAGCGTTTAAAAATTCTGTCCATGCAAAACAATGAAAATAACTTGCAGTTTAATTTCTGAGTGTAGCAGTTGCTAATAAGGGCTTTCGTCTTCTCAGCTAGACGACAAATAGCATGGACAGAAATTTAGTCTCCGCTGCTTCCACTGTCTCTCCAGCATAATTCTTAATTTAAATTCATAAGTGGGATACATATTTTAACGTTTTGATCTATTCATGTATTTACCCTCAGGCATAGAAACAGCCTTCAAGTAAAGCCCTAGCATGGCTACTCTTTTCTGCATTCCGATGAACTAGTTAAGCGTTTATAAATCACCAGTTCCTAGAAGATGCCCAGGGGAAAAAAAGTAGACGGGAAAAGAAATTGTTGTGCTGTTGTCGGCCAATCAGAAAGCAGTAGACCATTCTATTATTGGTGCGGCTTTTAACCACTTTGGTTCCCCTTATGTTATAAATTCACAAAGTTCCATTAAAATAACATTGTGGTCGAGGAGAGCTCCACAAAGTAAATATGTATACCTGCAGGCAAATAAACTTAAAGCATCAACAGCCCCTATATTCAGTCCTGTGGTATCTATGCCCTCAAACCAGCCTTTTCTCTTGTAGGTTCTCAATAAGGCCAGGTGGTCATATCCCATGTGAGTCTATAAATAGGTAGTAATGCTCCAACTCATAGTCCTGAGCCTGAGTCACGCAAAATACCCATTGATTTCTCTGGAAGCTTTGGATGAGCAAAAAATACAAGACGAGGCCCCCAAGTTGGCTACAAAGTTGTTATGTAAACCCACCTCGGAGCATGAGTCTCACATCTGGGAGTACAACCGTGTTCTCAGTGACTTGTAACGTTAACCAGCGCTGCGAGATTTTCTGCTAAATGGGAATCAAGACTGATAAAAGCCCTTACATTATGGTTGTGCGCGAAAGTGAAGCTGTCACTTACTATTAATAGTTCAATTGCTTTGTTCCGGATTAATCTCGTTTGCCTTTATTCACTTTAGATTAATTAGATAACAACATAGACCGAGGTGCTGGGGAACTTTCTTAAATATGTCAAAGGAAATATTGTTGTCTTTTAATTTGGACAAGAACTCTGGTTCCGTCTTCTCGGTAAGGTGATACCACCACCGAGATCAATCTGAGCACTGAAACACTGCGACCACCAACGAGAGGCAACCAAGCAGTTGCCAGCTATACCAATCCCTTTAGCATCTAGACAACTTCTCCAACCATCTTAAATACAATCTTCTGCCTTCCGGGAGGTAGTTGCCATCTTGTCTGTAATTCAAGATCTGCCCCTCAGTTTAGTATTGGAAATATTTTAAATGTATGTTTATTTTCACGCTACAATATTAACGCCATAGAGGGTATGCAACAGTGAGAAATCGCTGTATTTTTTTTTCAGAGCAGTTGTCCTTTTTACAAAACTTCTTGCACTGAATATTTCAACGAAATGTCTTGTCGTTTATATGGAAAATAATATGCTTCCTGAGACAGAGCATACATCCGGTATAACACATGCCTACTTTGTTATGCTACAACCTCTTTCTCTTTATTAGAGGATCATTTACTCATAAGGTTACAGCAGTTAGGTGGGTTGTTTGTTTTTTGTTTGTTGGTAAGAAATAATTTATTTTTAATACCTGAACAGCTCCTCTTACTATGCACTAGATCTGAGACACCATTATTTAACTTTTCTGAAGTTTCCGGATTGGAGGTTCATGCTCTTAAATGCATCGGGTGGGGGTGGGAGGATGAGAAATGCCAGATAGAGCAGGTAGAGGTGATCATCAAATGGTAGTCCAAAGTACAATGACTATCTGGGGCCAGCCTTGTAAACCATGGGATAGTAACCCTCAATTATGGGAGTAATCCTGTTGATTTAATTTGGCTGTTCAGGTTACTCGTGCAGTGAGGGTTTGCTGTAGTGCATCCACATTTTTGTGTTGGTGTTATGCGACTAATTCCTTCTCTATCTTTGAAACTGAAATGCAGAACTTCCAAGACCATCAATTTTCAGCTAGTGGATCAGTTTAACTGTTCCACAAGTATTACTCTGTAGCCAATTAGTTCATTGTATCATCCAGTTATTGTGTTATTAGTGTTATGGTAAACTCTGACTCATATGCTATTTCATATACATAACAAAGCAGCAGAGGTGATTTTTCACTCTGTTGAGATTGAAACTGTAGCAACAGGAGCTAAATCCATTGTGGTTTAATACAGAATCATTAAATTCAATTTAAATAAAAAAGGCTACCACTCCCTCTTCTTTGTATTTTGCGCTCCAAGTATACTGAGCCAATCTGTAAAAGGAACTCCAGAGCCTGCGGATTTACTGCTCAGTAAATTATAGCAGAATCCCACCCCTATATTCAAGATGTATCTGCAATTTTCAGTTTGCAAAAGTCTAAATCATGAAGGATATTTCAATTGTCAGCCCTCCGTAGCGTTTACCTATGAGAGATTAAACCTCTAGTTGGTAAACTGGTGGCTGCGAGCCCAGAGGGGTAGAAGGGGGGCCTTCCAGTCTAGAAGGCTAGCCAAGGGAAATGGACAGAACGGAACAAGGAAAACAGTTACAGTGTTGGCTTTTCCTACACGCAGTCTTTCTCCTTAACTCGTAACACAAAGTGTGGTTGGTTTTGATGGATTCAAATTTGATGGTAAAGTTTTTTTTTTCAAGTGTCAAGGCTCGAGAGGCTGGTGGGTCAATGGGAACCTTTGGATGACAGATCATTGCAGTTCTAGTTAAATGTTTACTTTATCAGTATCCCTGTCATAATGTCGAATTACCACAGAATGTGCCATTCTCAAACTAAACTATGGCACCGTTTGACGTTAAGTGGCTACAGAGGCTGAAGAGTGGATCATGTCTAAAGACGTTTCTATAAGGTCTCTAATAAAAACAACGTTGCCGGATGGGAAATAAAAATCCATTTACATGGTTAACACAAAGAGACAGGTTTAGCTGGTTTACTTTGTTTAGCTAGTGCGGATTGAATGGGAAATATAATTATTGTTTTCATTTCTACTTTATGCACGGAGAATATTGTTGTTTTCTATTAGGATATTGTATGGAGCCCATCGCTGTAGTACTTGAGCGCCTGAAAATATTCTCATAATGATTATTTATATATAATCTTGTGTGTTACAACTGTATCTCCGATAATAGCAGATTTTCTGAAGCCAGAAGGAAATGATTAAAAACACAGAAATATTTTTTTACCTGAAAATCAGCATCTCCTCTCTTTTTACTGATATTAATTTATCGTCACTAATAGGGAGAGGAAGCTCGCTGAGGTTAGTGCCTCTATCTTTAGAACTGGACAGTCTCCTAGGTTAGCCAGTTACTAACATACTTCCTTTGCGTGATGGCAACACGAGGAGGAAAACTGAAAGTTTCCCTGATTTTAATCACACATCACTGCCCTTTTCTGTCTGCTAGGCCCATAAACTTCGCCTGCAGGCTGCAATGGCATTGACTCATCCTGAACGCTCTTCCAGTGCCTGATTACTGAAGTGGAATCTGTCTGATCGACTTAATAAGAATTTACCACTGCACTAAATGACGAGAATTTGTTTTTTGCATGGCTGGGTTTCTGTAGTTGATGTCATTTGGAGCTCACCCTCCTCGAGGCAAATAATCCCCATAAATACTCTTACTCCTGACCTCATTAAGTAGATACAGAGCAAACCCCACTTTGAACTGTTGTCTAGTGAGCTGCTTTAAGCGTTTATAAACATGCTGGGAAGTGAGAATAGTCTGACCTGTGGATCTTGTAATAATAATGTAGGGTTCTTGCAAAGGAACAACAGCCTGGAAGATAAGAGCCGGATTGTGAGCTCTCTCAAAGAAAGGCAATCTTCCAAGAACCTGCTGGCTTGTGAGAACAGCGAGAGGGAAGCCAGGTTCAGGCGGGCCGAGACAGACTTCTCCAATTTATTTGCTAGAGGTAAGTGCTCCTTACAACTATTGTCTGCTTAATCTCAGCAGTGTTTTTATGGTCTGTCTTTCTGGCATTGCATCTAGCTGCAGATTTTGCTTTTTAATAACTTTTTTTTCTGAGAATTTTGCTGTCAGAGTAACACCCTGTAGATGTTGTAGATAACATGTATAATATCAATATATACGTACTTATATGTATTTAAAATACTTTGGGCCAGATCCTCAGCTGGCGTAAATCGGATCAGCTCCAGAGACTTCAGTGGAGTTACGCCAATTGCACCACCTAAGCATTTGCCCCACAAAAAATAATCAGTTAGACGCATTTTTTCATTGTAAATCGGCCACTGAAGACGTTAAATTCTTTCCAGTACAACGTATGCTTGACAGGGGTGTGTTTGTGTCAGTCTGCTGTGATTACGTTTTGATGCATAAACTGGTATCTTCTGACAATCTGCTGGAGGCGAGAGAGGATAGGCAGAGTGCTGGTCTTATATTTTATTGCTCCATTATCCCATGAATACTTACAGTAAATCTATTTTTAATTTGGGAAGAGCGCTCATTACCAATGTGTGTTTAAAAGCTAGTTAAAACAGCATAGCTATCCGATTAGGAAGCATCGCAGTTAATATACTCCTAATGGGGTGAGGTGGGGGAGAACCAGAAGCACCTTCAGCCACAGGTTTCATTTGCCAGACAGAGCGAGTGAACTGAGACAATGTTGTGCAGGGAGCAGCGTCTAACTCTCGGGCTAGTTGCTAAGCGTGTTTCCCCCTCGGAACACGATAGATTAGCTTGTAGGGTGTCATGATTTCAGTGACATGCGCTTTTTAGCATCTAGCAGGAAGCTGCTATTGAGTGCCCTCGCCGCCCGATGATGAATGGGAATGAAGCTGACAGAGCCCTGGCAGGGATACCAGACACTGTCACGCATTCCGCTGCCTCCGGGCTGTCGTGTTGCAGGACCCTGGAAATGACGCTCCGCAGGGAGCTGGTCCATATTCTGCCCCCCGATTGCTAGGCAGGCGCTGAGTTCTTCTTGTGTCCCGCCCGCCGCAGATTTGCTGCCTGCCAAGAATGGCGAGGAGCAGACCATGCAGTTCCTGCTGGAGGTGGTTGACATTCTCCTGAACTACGTGAGGAAGACGTTCGACAGGTCCACCAAAGTCCTGGACTTCCATCACCCGCACCAGCTGCTGGAAGGGATGGAGGGCTTCAACCTGGAGCTCTCGGACAACCCCGAGTCCCTGGAGCAGATCCTGGTGGACTGCAGGGACACGCTGAAGTACGGAGTCAGGACAGGTACCGTCTCCCAGACCCTGCTCTCCATAGTGGGGGGAAGGGAAAAACGCGGTAAGGGGCCGGTTTCTGCGGGCTTGGCTCAGGCCTAGGGGGCCTGTTGACTCTTATGTTGCTCCTTGTGTGGGTCATCAGAGCAGGATTGGGCCCAACGTATTAACGATACACTCCCCCGGCCTCTACCTCGCCGGAAGGGGCTCAACTTTGTAAAGGTTCATTCCAGCCCCTCTCTCTCGCGGAAAGTGACTTTGTCACCAGTGCCAGGCGCGGCTGCTTCATCCCTCACTCAAATGGGTATCATTTCCCGGGGTTGTTTGTGGAGCCCAGACACAAGTTTTTAAGACGTAATATCTTTCACTTGGTGAAATGCAAGCCGCCTGCATCTCCGGGGAGCGATGTCATTAGGCAAATGAGGGTATAAATGAGACGGAATTCGCAGTTTTTCTTCTTTATGTTCACCAGACGTTTAATGAAATCCTAGGAATCGTTAATAATCAGATTTAAACTCACTACACAGGGAGTCTCTCACTTCCAGGTCATTTTGAATCCCATATCAATAAATACTTTTATCACAACTTCCCTTCTTATTCAGTGAGCTGTAGCCACAAACCCAAAATAAAGTCACTGATCGTCCGCTTGTTGTTTCGCCTGAAATGTTTTACTTTTAAGTCTGTATGGTAGGGATCTAAATTGCCAATAACTCAGCATATGGCAGTTACCCGAATAGCAGTTCAGGACCTGGAGCAATAACAGGGCAGAGCCCCTCTGCCCCATCCTCTCACCCCTACCCCTACCCCTTGCCGCTAATTCTGCTCACTCCGTGAGACCGATGGGAAAGGCTACAACTTCTGTCAGAACTATTCATGATCATCGCTCCATATGGTTTTACAATAGAAGCTCCTTGCGGGGGGCGGGGGAGTCAGAAGGGTTTCAAATCTTCCTTCTGAAATTCTCCTGATGAGCTATTAAGAGCAATGCTTTCTAAACTACGAGCATTGCTTGCGGAACGGTTCAGCCACATGGGACTGAGGGGGGTTGTCCATCATATCTTCCTTCCTAGTACAAAACCGATCGATTTGAACTAAGCAACAAAAACTACGAAAATAACGTTTTGATCTTGTCGGCCCAATTTGCACTGTTCTGAATTCTTCAAGAGTAGCAAGTACTGTGTTTTTGTCTTGTGCCCGTTTTAACAAGTGATAGCGTATTTCAGACTCCCAAATCTGCCCTTTTAACCTGTGGCCAGCATGTTCTTTCAACAAAAGCAACAGTTACTGCAGTTTAATTTAATTTCCTAATTCCATGCCTGGTTGTCTGTGTTCTCTATTGTTCCGTTAGTGGGGTTATGTTGTTATGCTGTTTAGCTAGCACTTTTCTCCTGACTCTTCCTACTTGTTACCTGGGATTTTATTGGTGCTATATGCTGACAGCTATTTCTTATTAATGTTATTAAATGGCACTTGAGACGCAGATATGGTCAAATAGACTGTATTCATAGTAGCAGCAGGTTAAGGATTTTAATAACAGAAACTTAAGGCTTTGTGACGGATCCAGCAGCAGCCATTAAAGGCAATGGAAAGACTCCAATTAACTTCACTGGAGCTTGGATCGGGCACGGAGTTGTAAAGGCTTTCTTCAGGCAAAACTCCAGTTGAAGTCCATGGGATTTAGTCTGTTGTTTAAAAAAGTAATCCATCATAAGGGGGAAAAGAAAAGATACGCGCTGAAAACATCAGCAGAAGATACCCCGCTGATTTATTAAAATAGTTTCTCAAACTGTGTCAAGACAGCAAGAGAAGAATAATTGTTTTGTAAAATAAAAAGCGAATCCATTTTAATATAACTGCTATTTAACCTCTACCCAACCACTATTCAGCAGAGCAGTAACCGGAAACAAATATTTACGTTCATTTGGCATACGGTTTTCTGGAGAGTGTGAAACTTTTCTGCAAAATCTGTGAGGGTTAATGTTGTTAGAAAAGATGTGGCTTGTTAATATACAACTGTAAAATCCTGTGGGCATGTAATGTAGACATTATATGCAGCGGAGTGAAAGGAATAGCTAACCCCATGCATGAGGGGTTTGCAGGAAAAGTGTAGACTACATGAGCAATTAATTTTGTATAACTAAAATAATTAATTAGGCTATAATAATTAATGGATGTTGAGCAAGTTGCATACTGTTTAGGAATGTTGTTAACTAGTGGACAGTCCTCTCCCCACCATCCCCACAAATCTTACATTATTTAGAGCAGAGTTCTGAAGCCTTTTTTACTTTATTCTATCAATTATTTTACAGCACCTCACGGATCAATTGCTCATAGGTTATCCTATTTGCAAGAAAGGGATGTTAGCAATGTTCTAGAGAAAATTTACTTATCTATATTAAGGATCCCGTAAAAGGAAGAGAGTCCTGTGGCACCAGGTGCCACAGGACCCTCTGTTGCTTTTTACAGATTCAGACTAACACGGCTACCCCTCTGATACGTAAAAGGTATTAGCCTAGGATTTGAGGGAGCAGCATTCAATTCCCCGGACCACCACAAACTTCTTGTGTGATTTTAGGCAAATCATTTTGTCTTTCTGTGTCTCAGTTCCCCAGCTGTAAAATGGAGATGGTGTGAAAATCAGTACATTAAAGATTATTGAGCCTGATCCTGGCAGTTCTGCCAGTTGATTTCAGTGGTAGAAGGATTTGGCCATTTATTAGAACTGCAATGATTCTAAAGTTCTTATTTGCCTTTTCTTATTAATGGTATTTGTTTTGTTTATGTATACATTTATTATTGAGGTGGGGCAATGAAAGTCGATAGTCGGTTTATAGTCCGTGTCAGCTTCAGGTTTTCCAGAATGTTGGGGATACAAACACTACAGACTCAGAGGAATATTTATTTGTTTTAAAAATTGTTTCCACCGGAATGTTTAAAAATCCTATGGCAATACTTCTATCGCTCAACTTTTTGTAAAAACTGGCTTTTTTAAGGGGAGGGGAGGTTGTTTAGTTTGGCTTTTGTTTGTTTGTTTTCAAGCTAAATGTTGGGCCAAATTCGAGGTGCCCGTGTCCCTTTTTGATGTCCAACATTGAACCTTACCATAGTTCCCCGATGAATTGATAAATATGTGGGAGAGCTTTACATTATGCATTATATGTTCCGGGTACTCCTCGGGAGCTCAGGATTTCTGATCGGGAGAGATTACCACCTGTTAGTGTTAGGGGTGTGAACAGGGTTGGTCTAATATTTGGACTCACTCTGTCTTTGCAAAGAGAGGCCAGCTAAAATACAGCGGTCTGCCTGACTCTGAAGTCATTCACAGTTAGAGCAATACCCTCGTTTTAGTTTAGCTGAATGTTCTCTTTCAAAACTTTTCAGGGGCCCCGCCCCGATCCTGTCCCATTGAAGTCTGTGGGAATCATGCCATTCCGTGCAAGCAGGATCAGGCCCAGCGAAACTTTCCTTTATTGCAGAGGCTCATGCAAGAGAAGGAAGAGCAGAGTTCTTGGCTGTTCAGCTCCGCCTGCCTACTGTTCGCGGCCCTAACCATTGCTTATCTAAAGAGACCCAGGAGTACACTCTGCATAGCTTTTCTCCATTTAAATGCAAATATGACCCAAGTCTGCTGGTCACTGGTGCTGAAATATGTTATCCCCCTGCACTTCACCACCACCCAATTATAGCAGTTCTAGGGGCAGCTAACAGAATAAGCCACAAATTCAACCTTTTCACTTTGTGAAAAGGCATTACTTGGTGCCACACATTTTGTCTTATAAAGCCAGGCTTTGGGTGACTGCTGAAATAAAAATGAACCGCCAAAGATAACAATGAAAGGCATGTGACGTGCTATATTGTTTTCAATCTTCCCAGGTCATCCTCGTTTTTTCAACCAGCTCTCCACTGGACTGGATATTATTGGCTTGGCTGGTGAATGGCTGACATCAACTGCAAATACTAACATGTAAGCAGTCTCCTATTTTTTTTTATTTTTATTTTTTTTGTGATTAATGATTATACAGGTTGCCAGGACTGATTTCTGCAACTCATTTATAATAAAGATGTCCCATGTAATGTATTACGTGTCCTATGCATTCTTATGTTATATAACGCAGCAATAAACTAGTGGAAACAATTATAGCTTTCAACAGATTTTAAGAGGAAATCTTGCATTACTATCACACACAAACTCAAATATCCCAGAATAAAGTGTAAGTAAACTATAGTCATTCTGATAATACAACACCAAATGATGGAACGTCTTTTGGGAGAAATTTTTGTTTATCTATCCCAGTGTGTTACAACCAGAACTCTTATAATTTAGATGGTCTTTCTTTCTTTCTTTCTTTCTTTCTTTCTTTCTTTCTTTTTCTTTCTGCCTGAGCTAATTTGGGTCCATTCTTGTTAAGATCTGAATTTCCAATTAATAATTTTGCAATTATCCTAATGCAAACACTAGAGCATAAACTATTTATGGACCTGATTCTGCTCCTGCTCCCATTGACCTCAGTGAGAGCAGGATTGGGCCCTTAGCTTCCTCTTTATTCAGCTGTCATCACATAAGTGGCTTTTAAGAGGGTTCAGAAAAGCTGTCAAAAGGATTAAAAACCATAACATTCAAAATTAACTTGATAATATAAAGGAATTATCCCGACTGAGATTAGTTAAAATACAGAGTATGGCAGGATCAGACTGATAACCTTTTGGACCTAGATTGTATTTAATAATTTACCCTCCATTATTCATTACATTGAAATGTAATGAAAGTGAAAATTAAGTTCAAGGTGTGTTGCTGTATTTCTACAACAAATAGTGTCATTCAGAGAGGGGAAAAAAGCCTTTGGGCAGTTTTAAATTATGTATTGATTTGTGTATGCTCCAAAAAGTGTGACATGCTTGGAGTCAAAATACTTATCAGATAACAAATACCACTTTCCATTTCAGGACTTTAATGGATGTGTGTATGTATTGTGTTATGGCTGTGTTCATTTCACCTAAAACTGCCACTAACATGGAAATGTAGCTTTGTTGTTGCTAATGTGTAAAGTGCAATGAAATTTACCTGCAAATGGAAAAATGAAGATTATTTTCATTTCCTTCATCCATTGATAATGGTTCACTGGGTATAGCTGATTACTAGCTGCTGTATGTAGTTTGCCAGATGTGCCCATCCAGTGACTCCAGAAACAAAGAAACCACATAAGAGACTCAATTCAAAAACACCTAGTTCTTTTTAATAATACTGCTCCCAGTTAATTTCGTATTTTCAAAAAATTGTATTAGTGAGTCAAATGAGAAAAATAATTGAAAAAAACCCATTATACCCTCAATTTGTAATGTGACTGTTGAATGATTTGTTTAGTATGACACACACCATTTTAAAATTAAAAATGTGATTAATTTTCTAAAAAAAATTTGCTTAAATTCCACTACTGTGTAGGGAGAAAGCATACTCTATTTTTAAAGTTATCAGGTAAATTAAGCGGATGACACTTATTGTGAGCCAAATTCTTTCTTGACTATCATCTCATGCAATCTCAGTGAAGTCAATTAGGTTGCACAAGCTATAAGTCAATGCAGAGTTTTACTTTATGACAGCATACTGTGTGGCTGTATATATTAAAAATAATTATTAAGAACATTTCATTCACTTATCTAATTTCAAAAAGGTGATTATTATGAAGGATTTTTTTTCTTGGATTGACTTAGAAAATTGTCCTGTTAAAATAGCTTAACTCAGTAAAGTTCTTTACCCTTTCTGGATAATTTGCACTTTAAACAGACAAACATATTAAATACATATAGAAAATGATTTTCTGTAAGCATGAAAATTGCACAGCTTACCCTTTTTGTGTTGGATTTACCAAACACAAATCACATAGACTGTTCCCTTACTTCAGCTGTGCAATGGAAAAATGCAATATATTTCAAGAATTTAAGACCAATATGAAATAGCTTAATAGAACACAGTAATTACAGAGACTGTTAAAGACGTGTTTATACAATATTATATGATTCAAACACATCAATAGAGAAGGTTACTTAAAATTATCATATAGTTTCTATCCATTCTAGAGAATAGATTCTCTGGTTAGTGCAGCTTTCCAGCACTGAAGAAGAGTTAATGAATGACCTTTATGTAGAAATTGTTCTAACCTAGTTCTGCTAGAGAAGCATGTAATGTGGTACGTAACATTGGATTCTTGTGACAAAATTATCTTCCTATTGCCATTTTTCTTTTCCACCTCTAAACACCTCTAAATACTTTTGATTAATTGCACAGAATATTTTTTCCCCATATGGGCTTTGAGTGATCAGAATTTCATCTTACCATCTTTATATTTTGTTGGTGTTATTATGAATCTGATAAGCCATGTTAATCATAGTAGAGTCTCCATGTACATATACAAATTGAGTACCAGAATAGTATCAGTAATTGAAATTACGACTCATAAGACATTTAGGGTGGAATTTTCAGAAGTGATCAGTGTTGATCTAACTCTGTTCCCATGTAGTCAGTGATAAACCTTCCATTGGCTTCAGTGGGAGCAGAATTAAGCTAGTGCTGGGTACTTTTAAAAAACCCACCCTTCCATGTTTTCAATCACTGTCAATGATATCTGTAAAGACTATATTAGTATGAGAGTTCCAAGGGTCATATCCACATGAAGGTCATTTCATAACAAGAGTTGTTTTTCCATGGCGGCACACATTTTTTACTTTTAGGCTGAGATTGTCAAGGGTACCCACTTAAGGGTAAAAATAAATGGGAATAGACTAGAGCATCCAAATCCCAAAAGTGATTTTGAAAATCTTAGCCTTAGTCTTTGGGTATTGGACTTATGATTTTTTATCATCCACAATCTTCCATCATTTCTTTGTGAATCTTTGCAGGCTCATGCAGTAGTTTCCCTAGCAATTGCATTAATTCATTTTGACTTATTTAAAATTTTCTCTGTGAATACTCTTACTATGACACACACAAAAAAACCTTGTTAATAGCTATGTACTCTGTGTACAGGCAATTTATTCTTTCAGGAGGTATTTGGAGTTCCATTTGAAAGTACTCGGGGCCAAATCCAAAGCTATTTAAATCAATGGAAAAAAATCCCTTTAACTTCAATTGGCTTTGGGTTAGGCCCTCAATGACCTATACACTAGAGGATTCACATGGACTTTAGTTGGAGTTTTTCCAAATAAGGACTGGAAGATTGGGCCCTAGATTTGCAATGTATAAAAACAATGTTATAACTTTGCTCCTGGATATACTGCAGATGGAGCTTAATTTATAAACTCTGTATTTCTGTCATCGCTGGCAATGCTCAACTTCCAGAACACCACTATAAGTGATTCCCTGTTGCAATTCTGATGATTTAAAGAAAAATAAATGTACTGTTTTGACTCTTCAAAACTGAAAATAACTAGGAATAGACAAAAATACAAAGCCTATCTCATCTTAAATGGACATCCTAACAATGTCATCTTGGTACTAGGACAGAAGAGGGATATCATTAAGGACCTTGGCTGGGTTTTGAAAAGGCAACTAAGAAATTTAGATGCCCAGATCCCATGAAATTCAGGTGTCTAACTCCCTTGAGCCCCTTTGAAAATCCCACCCCTTACATTTAGTTACTTTCTGCCCCATTCTAAATTCTTTTTTTTTTTTTTCAGTGTTCAAAATAAACCTAGTCTCACATAGCTTGTTTACACTGATAGTAATTTGACAATAAGCCTTCCTTGGTCACCTAGCAGAGTAGCATAGCCTATCAATCTAATTCAAATTTTTGTCCATGACACATATGGCATACTAGACTATGCAATGCTTCTGGTCTGCGTTAGGTGGATATAATAGTTGACTGCTCTCTTGTTGTTTGTAATTGGTAATTAGAAAATCATCATTTATAATTACTCTTGACAGATATTGATTGCATGGCATTGTAGAAATAAATTGTCCTTGGGGATTATTAGCAGAATATGTCCACATAAATAATTGTATTTAGATTTTTGAGCCCTAGTTCAATATTTCTAATTATCTTTGTGGTAAGCTGTCTAATGCTTACTGTTTTCATAACTCTACAATTCTGACAATATGCTATTCTACAAGTGTGAAACTGGCACTCTGTGAACCAAATATTTTACAGTCTAATTTTGCATAGTACGGACTGTCAATATTGCTGTAATTACTGTAAATTGTATAAACACAGAACGTTCTGATCAATGGTTAGCAGAAACAATAGAAAACATACATGGGGCCTAATACTGCAGTTCTTACTTGCAAAATATTCCCACTGGCCTTGCAGGAAGTTTTGCTTGAGTAAGAGCTGCAGTATCAGGTCCCGAATTCACAGGCAATTTGGTTATGAGTCTTAAACATTTTCACAAAGGATCAAAGATTCAGCATTTATGTGCATTTTGGAATGTGAACTATGTATCAGTTTTGTTTTTTTATCCACTCAGGTTTACATATGAAATTGCACCTGTTTTTGTCCTCATGGAGCAAATAACGCTTCGAAAGATGAGAGAGATTATTGGCTGGTCAAATAAAGATGGTGATGGAATATTCTCACCTGGTAGGTTTTAGTCTCACTTTTGACAAGTTGAGATAAATATCGCCTGTAGTTGAACGCATACATTCATGTAAGTACTGTAATAGAAAACGCAGTGTCTGAGTTTTAAAACTAATAATGGTTCACCTAAAGCATTTGTTTCTTTCAAACTTCCCATAAAGGGTTAAAAACATTCATATGCAGTTTTCATCTTTTAGTATAGTTATGAATATAACTATTCAGAAATTTTGCCAAAATTTTCAAACTTTAGTCCTAAAGTTAGGTACCAAAATCCATATTAGGTGCCTAATTTCCAGAGGTGTTGAGCAACTACATATCCTTGGCTGACAGCCCTCACCTCTAAAAATCCTGACACATATTTAGGTGCAGATCTGGGCTGGAGGTCGTGGACGAGGAGTATGCTGTCTTTGCCACATCATCCTCCCCTTTCTCATAATTCATAGATGCAGCTCTATGGATGGTCAATAAGGATTTGGATTCTAGGTGAGGGACTGGAGGATGGCCACTTTCTATGGCATCATCTCCCCGGAAACCTGCAGAGAATCTGAGAGTATGATTATGCTGGCCCCGTCCAAAGTACCTCTCTTATCACTCCACTCCATGCTCTGAACCCACTCCATGAATGGAGCATAGGGACAATGGTCAGTGGCAGAGGGGGCTGGGAAGCAGTGCAAAGGTTCATGGCCTCTTTGCTGATGGCCTTCATTTCTAGCAGGATTCCTGAGATGTGTGGGTTTTGGGGGACTAATCCCCTTCTTGTTTCAGAAGATGGAGGACAAATCCCAAGCACAAAACCCATGAATGCAAACTCACTAAGTTCCTAGTCCCCTATGCAGGAAAAAGACACAAATCGGTCTGGCCTAATGCACTGGTTAATGGTAATGTTTAAGGAAAGCTGTTTTAGAGTCTATTATAGGTCTTCAGTGTCATGGAATTAGGTATGAAGTTGCTATTCTTGTTAAGTGAGGTTGTGGGCCTCATTCCCAAGTGCAGCATATTGAACACTGACCATCTAATGAATGTGTTACAGAAATATTAACAATCAGAAGGGGAGATAAATAAGAAATTCTGACTTCCAATATGGATTCTTAAAAGGTCTGTCTTTTAGACCTTCCTGACAGATAACCATGCATCTCAGTAATTTGTTCTTTCATACTTCACTGAAGTTTTCACTACATTGCACAAATGATATTGATATGCCTTTGTTCTATAAAAGGTCAGATTGCTTTTCTCATTTTCAATGTTTTATTATGTGCTCTTTTATAGGAGGGGCTATATCCAATCTGTACAGCGTCATGGCTGCTCGCTACAAGTATTTCCCTGAAGTCAAAACTAAAGGCATGGCTGCAGTTCCTAAACTGGTTCTTTTCACTTCGGAACATGTGAGTTCAACACACTGCTAATTGTTGTTGTTAATATATTGCCAAATGTTTTTAAGACATTCAGATAAGTGACTATTCCACCATTAAGGCTGTGTATGTTTTTCCTGCAGAGTCACTACTCAATAAAGAAAGCTGGGGCTGCACTTGGGTTTGGAACAGAAAATGTGATTTTGATAAAATGCAATAAAAGGTAGGATGAATGTTAAGTTCTTGATATATTAAATGTGTTCATCTGTTAAATTTGTTTTATTGTGCTTAAGGACTGGTTCAGTACAGTGTGTCAAGCTGCTAATGATCTGTTGAAAAGATCCCATTAAATTATTTCTGCTGTAGCTGATACTCTTTTGTGCACAATCTTTTAATTTTCTTTGTCTTTTTGTTTCTGCAATAATTACAGAGGGAAAATAATACCAGCTGATTTTGAAGCCAAAATTCTGGAAGCTAAGCAAAAGGTACGCATTTTAAAGCTTAGTAGTTTAATGTTTAGATTAAGAATTTATTACTTTTTCCCTTTGAGGATGAGGAATAACATTCAATCAGAATATTTATTCTAGACGCTATCAGAGACCTATTTTATTCTACAATGATAATTTTGGTTGTATAGCTCTAAATTTCTACACTGTTCAAGAAATAATCTACAGATCTTGGTTTTCATTTACTGTTTAATTCATGTAGTTATTTCAAACTCTTGACATACACATATATCTTTCTGAACAAGGCCTAAATGGTTACGATTTTTCCTTTTTAGTTTTCTGTTTTAGAAAAATTGAAAAAGATTATTATTAATATGGAAAATTATATCAAAATTGTAAGAACCTTTTGGGGGCTAATCCTTCAGAATTCCTATTGACTTCAAGGGTGGGTTTGTAGGATCGGTCCCTTTAAACGTTAATTTTAATTTTCCATGTGAGGAAAATTATATTTAAAAATAAAAATCAATAAAATAACAAATTAATGTTTTGTAAAGCAGTGAAGAGGAATCTTCAAAAGTTGGTGTTCAAGAGTACCTATTCTAAATAAGCTGTAGCTTGCATATTAAATAAATATATTTTTGTAGCTATGCTGTCCCAGTAACAAGTAGATAGGTATATTTTAAATTGTATTTCATGAAGTTCAAAGTCACCTCAGTTTGATACGACTTGCAGTTGCACTTTTAAAAGTCTTCTGTATACAAAAAAGATCAAAGGAACAACTGTCAACTTAAAATCACACTTCTGTCTGAATTTTTTTATTTTTCATTTATTTATTTTTTGCTTAATATTGTTACAAGAGTCTCCTAACTGTACCATAACTGAAAGAGATCAGAGACCAAATTTTTCTTTGTTTTTTTACTTTGTGCATTTGACAATACTTTGTATAATCAGTTTCCCCATTTCCCATGTCGCCAATCAGGGAATCAGTTTTCATTGTTGTTTCTGGGGGTCTTTCATGCCAGCAACAATGGAGACAAAAACATTTTTAAAAAAATGGAAAAATTGAGTAGTTAAACCACAAACGTTGACATGGGGACACAGAGGCAGGTGAAGCACCTGAAATCACTTTTAAGTCTGATTTTTGAGATGGACCAGATTTCACACTGAATCAGCATTATTTATATTGCAGGGACATGTTCCACTTTATGTAAATGCAACCGCAGGCACAACAGTGTACGGGGCCTTTGATCCAATAGAGGAGATTGCAGACATTTGTGAAAAATATAACCTCTGGCTCCATGTAGATGTAAGTAACTGAACAATCTGCTCAAACTAATCCTAGTGACAGAGGATTCTAGTCTGCAAATGTTTCATGTTGAATTTAAATCTTTACTATTGAGCAGTGCTCATCTTTCCTGTGATTTTGATTTTAAGAGCATTGCAAATAGATATAGAGCCCCATCCTAAGAATCCTCCACATATTTAACTTCCATTAGAAGTTCAGTGGTCAGAGGGTTTAAAGGGCTGGGTGCGTGGTAAACTAAAATATTATAGACTTTTCAAAAATACTGACTCTTTACCTGTTCTTCCAACACTTTCAGGCTGCTTGGGGAGGTGGACTTCTAATGTCCAGGAAGCATCGTCATAAGCTGAATGGAATAGAAAGGTACTGCACACGGTTTATTGGTGTTGCTATTTATTTATGCAGTTGTACATGGTCTTTCACAAATGTATGAAAGGACAAAGTCCCTGCCTCAAGGAGCTTACACTGTAAATTAAACAGAAACAACACAAACAATAAAAGGTTGAACAGGGGGTTGAAAACTGCACTGGAGAGGAGGTCAGTGATGGAAGGCAAAGTGAAAGGTAAGTTTGAAGGAGGACAGGGAGATTGTTTAGCAAATAGGAGAGGGGAGACAGTTCCAAGAGTAAAGTGTAACTTCAAAGGAGGCACAATGGGAAAACTAAAGAGAGAGGACAGGCTGACCTGTAGGAAATGAGATTTAAGATGGGCTGGGCCTTGAGAATAAGGATTAAAAGGCTAAACTTGGTGTGGGGGAAAAAAGAGGAATCCTGGGAAGGGATTTGAGAGAGAAAGAGAAAGAAAGAGTGTGTGTGTATGGGGGGGAAGGTTATGGGAATCCTCACCTGGAAGCTCTTTGCAATCACTTCCAGTAATTATTGAGCCTTTATTCTAGCTACAGATGAATTTTCTATAAATGAGAGCCAATGATCTCAACATCAACCAGAACAGGGGTAGGCAAACTTTTTGGCCTGAGGGTCACATCTGGGTATGGAAATTGTATGGGGACCCATGAATGCTCATGAAATTGGAGTTTGGGTGCAGGAGGGGGTGAGGGCTCTGGCTGGGGGTGCGGGCTCTGGGGTGGGGTTGGGGATGAGGAATTTGGGGTGTAGGAGGGTGTCCAGGCGAGGACCGAGGGGTTCGGAGGCCAGGAGGGGGTTCTGGGCTGGGGCATGGAATGGGAGTGTGGGGGGTGAGGGCTCCAATTGGGGGTGTAGACTCTGGGGTGGGGCTGGGGATGAGGGGTTTGGGGTGCAGGAGGGTGCACCAGGCTGGGACTGAGGGGTTCGGAGGGCAGAAGGGGGATCAGGGCTGGGTCAGGGGGTTGGGGCATGGGGGGATTGGGTGCAGGCTCTGGGCGGCACTTACCTCAA